ACATTAACTGTGACAGATGTTGCCAATATACGATCAAAGACCGTATATCAGTAACATCTCGTTATGATAAATGAACTGGTTCTTTATTGCATTTCTGAATTATTAAGTAAAATGATAGTGAAGAGATGTCTCAAAACAGATAGAATAAAACAATTTCCATGTGATTAGTAACAATAGATACATCGTATTTCATATTTTAGTTCCGCTGTGAATACACTAACAGTTTTTTTTAAAATATAATATTACTTATACCTAGTCATTTCTTGAATAATATCTTCATAATATGGTTCATTCTTTTTCGAAGCATAAAATTCTTCTACTTGCTGTCGTGTTAATTGAATTTCTAATGTACGAGTAACTTCAAATCCACTATCTCGTATTCGATCAATAATAGCATCTAAATATTTCAAATGTTTTTTTGTTTTTGTTTTTTGTTAGAAACATTCTTTAACATTATCAAACCTTTATATAATTTCAAAGCACTTGGTCGAATAATAGCTAATGTTCGTTCAAGATTTTCTTCTGGTGTACGTGGTCTGCGAGCAATATGTGGTAAGAGTAACATAAGTTCACTTTAGAAAAAAGAAAAATGAAATCATACAATCAGTTATATTAATATATTATTTACTTACTCATGAATATTATCTGTTGATGGTGTATAATCAACATTTGTTTTCAATAATTCATCAGAATTAACTAATTCACGAAGATCATCAACAGTTGAAGCTTTAGCATCAGTTTTTTGAAGTAGAAGAACAACTGATGGACCACTTGTCATACGTGCTATATGTTCTTCATAACCTTCCTAGAAATAAATATATTTATTTTATTTTTTGATATATTTTACAAAAAAAAACAAAATCAATATCGAACTTGATTCATTTTATAACGATGTAATTCACGAGCATCATGTTCATTAAGATGATGTTCTTCTTGTACGAGTATTTTAAATCCATTTTGTGTAATCTAAATTAAAGATTTATTATAGAAGTAGCAGCAACGCCAGGATTTTTAGTCAAAGAATGAAGCTTAGCCTTCTTATGGCGTCACTACTATATATAAATGTTTACGAGTAATAAATTTAACTTACTGTTTCAACAATTTCATCTACTTTGCCATCAGCATAAGCATCTGGTCGAATAACTGCAAGAGTATATTGTTGACTTGCTAGAAGAATAGAAAAATTTTTACTTTCTAAAAACAAAGAATATAATTTACTTACTAATAGCATTAGCAACAGAAGAACTACGATGACGCTGTAATCTAGGGTCAACTTCTTCATCTTCATCCTGATCAATTTGTTGAAAAATAAACTAGATGAACAAAGACATTCATTGAATTAAATAAAAGAAAAACAAATTTTTTAAAAATTACTTCACGACGTTCACCACCTTCTTTAAGAATTCTTTTTTCTTCTTCTAAATTTAACATAATTTTTCGTTGTAATTCAGGTGCATTTGCTCCAATAACAGCATCAACAAGAACACCACTCTAAAAATATTGATTGATAATTTTATTTTATTTTATTTTTTTACAATATTTTATCTAATTTTACCGCATAAAAAAGAAAACATGGTTCACATCGTCCTCGATGTTTTTCAAGTGAATCAATTGTATCCGCTTTAGCCTAGCAAAAAAAATCATAATGAATTTTTATTTTTATTTTTATTTTTATATGCAAAATTAATATGTGATTCGTGTCATAATTTGTTGTTGTTGTTGTTGTTTTACTTTTAAGAAGAATAGAGTGTACGTTTATATTGACTCACAATAGCAAAATTTAGAATAGCATCGCCAAGCGTATTTTTTATCGTTCGAAATTTCGGTTCCATGGCTTTACAAGGACCGCCATATGCTTGATAAATATCCACGACTAGAACAAACAACAATTCAAACAATGTGTACAAAATCAAGTGCATTTTAATAATAATGATGTATGAAACAAAAAAAAAACCGATGTGTATTTGAGTGTAAATTTAACAAAATATTGTGGATATAAACGTAATAAAAAAAAATGATTATTACAAGAGCAAATTTTAGTAATGCCTCTCCACTTTCAAGTTTGATTCGTTTGAAATTTCCTTCAACACTTTTACATGGACCTGCCCATTGTTGATAAACGTCGACGACTGACAAAGATAAATTTATATAGTTAGAAGAAGGATAATATAACTTTTGAATTATGAATGATATATATAATCAATCACCTGTAAGACCATCTTTATTAATTGCTTCATTCCATTCTTCTTGTGTTTCGATTTCTGCTTGTAATGCAATTTCTTGACGACGACGAGCCATCTTTTTACAATTTCTATAATAGAATAAAGTGAAATGAATAAAAAATATTTGCCATTATTGAGTTTTTACATATAAGAATACCATAGAGATTATTACTGATGAAGGAGGCTAAATGTAAGTCTAAAAAATAAATTCAATACACATACAGTTACGACATCTGTGTTCTTTGTTACATATCTGTCCAAAAACCCAACATAATATTGATCTATATTGATTTGTGAAGTACCAAAACAATCTATGATTAAAGCAACATCTTGAACATTTATGTGTGCATACCTTAAGCTAGTTTGCTAATGCAAGAATACCATTGTATATAGTATCAGTTTGGATTAGACCAAAAATATAAATTAATTTTTATTGCATCAAAGGACAAGTTTATTAAAGAATAACAGTGCAAAAAAAACAACACTATAGAACACTCATCTGTTGAACAGCAATTCAGTTACACGTCGTTGTTTATTTTGAACGAAATTTTATGAACTTCGTTTAATAGATAGAAGTCTGAGGATAACTAAGTTAAAGGTTATAATTAAATGCAAAATAAAATTAAAGAAAAGTTCAAACAGCTTGATAGATAATTCGTTCCCAACCAACTGCATTGTGGAGATTTTTCATACTGCCACATCGGTCTCCACCGCCCCGATGAACTGTTGAGCGAAGTGACCAACAAAGTCGACCCTCAGAGTAAACATCATTTGAATCACAAGGATTCAAATTGATTGAACCTGGTTGCACATACCCGTAATTGTAATTCTGTCTATTGGCGGTCCGAATGATATCCTATGATATAACATAGTACAATTAGCATATAAAAATATGAGTATCGTTTAAAATTTAATATACGCTTATGAGAGAATGTGCTAGTCGGTAGGAAAAAAAACTATAATTACATTACTGCCAAAATAATTATTAGGGATTTTTTTTTCCATCAGGTAATTTACTCAATAGGCTATCGAAAACTGTTTTACTCACAGAAATAAGTACGCATCTTATAGATATAGTGTTGGTTTTATTTATTGTAAAGTAGCAAATTTTCTTTAATAACTACATGAACTTTCTATCGTATATTTCTAATGTATCTACAAGATGTCGTAAAAGTCCATTGAAAAAGCTAACGTAAATATCTCTTATACAATTCAAGTGATTGCATTGTTTTTTCAAAAATATGTTAGTATATTCTTTGAAATTTTATTCTATAGATTTTCAGATCAATGTCTATGCCTATAAACATGAAAATTAATATTGTTTTATGAATGATCAAATTTAAATCAACTCTAGTTCTGAAACGAAAAGTAAAAGTCGAGTTCGGTAAAAAACATCAAATGAAGATTGTATTAAAATTATGTTTCAATGCTTTTATGAAACTAGTTCAGTGGGAGATCAAGAACGTTCTGAAAGACCGTCAAAAATTACAGAAGAAAAAGTCGATGAAGTTCATAATGTTTGTGAAAAATAAACCACAATCATATACTCGAGCTGTTGCAAAGGTCTGTTCCATTCCATGAATAACAGCGTACCGAATTATGACTGAATACCTTTCATTGAAATCGTACGAAATGCAATTTATTCGTGGGATGGAGCAGACTTTTATGACAGCTCAAACAGTTGATTGTGATTCAGTTTTTACAAATATCATGAATTTCGTTGACTTTTTCTTCTGTAGGTTTTAACAGTCTTTCAGAATGCTCTCGATCCTCTACTGTACTAATTTCACAAAGGCATTGAATTGTAACTTTCACGCAATCTTCATTTGACGTGTTTTTGCCGCACTTGACTTGCACTGGTCGTTTCACAACCACAGTTGATTCAAATTTGGTCATTCACAAAACAATTGCGATTCTAATGTTGATAGTCGTAAGCATTGATCTGAAAATATGCAGAATAAAACTTTAAAGAAGATACTAATATATTATAAAAGTATTAATTAAATCTCTTGAATTGTATAAGAGATATTTACATTAACTGTTCCGACAAACTTTTGAGACACTTTGAAGTAGCAACAATGACGTGAAAACTTAGATCTTGTTTTTTAAGGACACCATTCCTCAAAAATCGATCTTAGGTCAGATACATTCAAATCGCATGAAATTATCAGTCCTATGTCATGACATTTTCGCGACATATTCAACAAGCAAGGATTAAAAATAGCTCTTTCGACAATACGAAATTCTCTGTGAGTCTTCATTCTATATATCTAATTTCTTTTTTGTTTGAAAGAGTATGTCAGAATGTAGGATATGACAAAGCCTTTTTTTAAATTCTTATTTGTTTTTTTTAAGCAGAGAAAAGTTCGACATCTCGAAAAAAAAAATGGCTCTCTAATTATAAAAGTACTCTTTTATATAATAGTAACAAAATTTAATTCAAAAAAGAGATTCTGTCATGCCGTATATCTTGACGTGCTCTTTCAAGCAGAAAAATGCAGTTGATTACAATGAAACTCCTTCGAGAATTCTGAGATGTGCGATCAAAAAAATTTAAACAGAAAAAAACAACGAAAAATATTTTCTGCTTTTTCTTAAAGCAGCATATTTTTCAAGCAGATAATGACAGAAATCATCAAAAATTTTCATCTGAATTTCAATAATTCCAACTAAAATTGATATTTTTTTTTGAGGAGACTTAAATAAAATTTAACTCAAATTGATCTATATTTAATTCAATAAATAATTTATATTCTATTATTATTTTTTTGAAAATATTTAATTTCTTACCTGCGAATGTCCTTCAAATCCCCAAGCTTGATCTTGTACGTAGTAGAAACCTATATCATTCTTTATTTCAATCTGACAATAAGTATTTGATGAACATGGACGAAAAAGATCTTTCCATTTGCCAATACCGGCTAGAGTTAACATCTTATTGTTATTAGCAGGACGACATGCGACAAGAAGTTTTCTACTTTTGCAAGCTAGTAAAAACAATAATAGATCAAACGGTTTATCATATGTGTCTCGATAACATTCTTGCCATCCGATTAAGGAGCTTATATTCAAGTTCAGATGAACACCTGCGAGAGGCGACAAGAATCGTTCGGCTAGAAACAATCGAATCGATAAATTATGTATAAATATTTGATAATCGATACGAGTTCATACATGCCATATTTTCATCTACGAATCGATATCTTTTTCATACAATTTTACTTACCATTTAGTCCAAGATCTGCGATCATGTAAGAAAAATTTGTTTGTATATCTCCTTGCGGTGCTTGAAATGTAATTTCATCAGGAGATATATCTGGTGTACGTTTGATCATTCTCAATTGATCAAGCAAATATTTAAATTGAACAGGATTATAATCAAAAAAAACTACATCCTCTTTATCTTTTAATTGCCATACGTTTCGATTATCTTTTGTGAACATCAGTGCTAATTTTGAATTAGGTATAGCAGTAAGAGTTGATCGTAAAGTTGATATTCTTTCACCGCTAACATTCAATTCAATCACATCATCATCTGATGATGATGAATTGTACATTTCTTTTTTTAAGTAAATCTCCGTTGAATTTCGAACAGAAGAAGTGTGATTCGAGAAAACGTTACTCTCAGTTGCAACAGAACTATCTTCATATGAATAGTCTTCATTAGATTCTAAATAAGTGTCTGTTGTTTGAAATGCAATTCGTTGATCAAATAATAGAAACCAAATGACCTAGATATAAGAGAAGAATTTTAAAATCATCTCCCTTCAGAAGAATACATACAAATAACATCGAAAACATTTTTAAAAACTTCTTCATATTGTCAACTTATAACAAATGATATAGTATAGCACAATTGTTTAGTATATTAATTCAGTATGATCAAATGTCTACGACGAGAATATAATTCTTAGTATGAATATTACTTGTTGGTATTTGAAGAAAGATATATATATATATATATGAAGATAGATGATGTGATGAAAGTATTAGACAAATGCATTTGTTTTTGTAATAATTTTCATAGCAATGTCTACATTATATGGATATTTTTTATCTACTGAGATCTGATGAAAAGTTCTGGTAACATGTGCTGGTAATTTTATAAACGAATTAACCTTTAAGATTTTGTTACATAAATAAATAGCAGAATATCTCGTCTATGATAATATGTATGATAAATTTATTTTGGGCTTAATTCTATTATTCTTTCAGATAAAATTCGATTCCAATAAGAAAAAAATTTGAAAAATGGATAATGAATTCAATCGATACTATATTATAACTGAGACTTCTCTCTTTCTAATATAGTACAATAGAACGAATTATCCACGATTATCTAAAGATGAGAAAAGTTACATCACATTAAATGCCTCATCAATTCAATGATAGACAAAAACAGGAACGAGTTAGAATCTGGCGAAATTTCGCGATGAATCATGGCGATTATGTGATATTATTACAGGTGATGAGACATGGATTTATCATAGACAGGTTGGACACAAGTCAGCTAACGCAACTTGGATTAGTGAAGATGAATCATCAATGACTATTGCTCATCGAAATGGATTTGGACCAAAAAATTTGTTTTCTATATTCTTTAAATTAAATAGTCCTGTTCTTATACATTGTGTAGACAAAGGTAAGATTATAGATCGCAATTATTCTATTGAAAATTGTCTCAAGCCTGTTGTCAATGAAATATGGAAACAAAAAAAGTCGTTAGGTGCAAAAAATGTAAAATTACTTCATAACAATGCTTGACCTCATAGTGATCCAGGTTTTATTAATTATTTAATACAAGAAGATATCAATATAATGACACATCTACCGTTTTCACCAGACCTTGTAAGATGTTATTTTTGGCTAAATGATTATATCAAGCGTAATTGGACTGACTAAATGAATAGAAATTTATTGGCTCAGACCGTTTTCAAAATAATTAAAAATATTCCAGTGGAAGAAGAATTTAAAAAAACATTTGACAACTTGTTAGAAAGGACAGGATTTTGTATAAATAATTATGATGATTGTTTTGAACATTTAATAAAATAAAAAAGAAAATATCTCGTTATTTTTATATATTTATTTAATGTTGTCAAAACTTTTGGTCAAGCTCTAGTTGAATACTGAACTGATCATCTGGCTAGATATTAAGTAATATTTTTGCTTTATTATGAACAGAAAAAGACGAATTATGTGAATAGTAACAATTATGTGTGTGTGTTCTTTCTAATTAAGAACAAAATCGAATATCTGAGGTGGGGGAACGATTTCAAAATGGAAAATATCTATATGATAACTATAGAGAAACTACCGATGGTATATTGATCGGTATAATGTACACTATACCAACGGTTTTTTTTGAAAGTGTTGTATGATGTGGTTAATATTGATGCATCTGAGCCGCCTGTACTAGTCACAGAGCTCATATCGACTCCAGTGATGAGAGAAATTTCAATCAGTAAAATATATTCTGAAACTATTTTCTTCTTGATTAATTTGAATTCTTTCCAATAAATAATTCAACATTGGATAGAAAACATTCTTCACAATCGTTTATATCTAGCGCTGTAAGTGCTATCATCGATTCTTATGAGTACTGCATTAGACCGGCTGTAGTGCAAACAAACCTACTACATGATTAGAAGCAGAAACAGGATATGCAACATCTCTATTTAAAAGATATCAATGATGTTCGACAAAAAAGAAATACATAGTGATCCTCTTATTTCCATCTTGAATTCTTCTTGTGATTTATTTTTTGCATACAACTGAATAATCACACTGTACGATTGTCTGCATCATAATTTTTTTTTCAAAATTTCAATCCTGATTTGATAAAACATGATATAAAATCAAAAGTCATATTTTTTGACTTAACGTACAGTTTTATAATTGTAAAACTAAATGATCATTCATTGTCGACCGTTATATTAACAGTCGTTTTGATTTCTTTTTAATAAAACTCACATTTTATAAAGTACGCATGATTAAGTAAAATCGAGTATATAACTAAACTAAATGAAAAAAAAAATGAAGCTTTATACTAGATAATAAAATGACAAGAAAAAAAGAAATAGATTAAACACTATAGTAAATAAGACGTTCCCATTTGTTTGAATTTTGTAAATTTTTTGCATTGCCACATCGATCACCAGTACCTTGTCTAATGATTGATTGTGATGTCCAACAAAGTCGATAATCGGAATCCAACTCACTAGAATCACATGGTCTAATCATAAATGATAAAGATCCACGTACAAAACCCAAAGTTTGATTATTTGCATTATACCATCCAACGCCTCGTTTAGCTTGAGTAATACATTGATAATTGGATGAACATATTAATGTTCTATTTTTTCTTTTTGATTTTTCATTTATTCTACATTGTTTTGGTAAACATGGATGAAAAACATCTTCCATTTGTCCAATACCTGCTAGACTAAGTATTTTTTTGTTATTAACAGGACGACAAGCAACAAGAAGTTGACTGCCATTGCATGATTTTTTCAATACAGATAAATCAAATGGAACATCATATGTATTACGATAACATTCTTTCCAACCAACAAGAGAACTTACAGTCAAGTTGATATGTGTACCTTCTCTTGGTGATAACAAATAGTCAGCTAGAATGAACATAATAAATAGTATGAAACAATGAATATTTCATTAGAATTTATTTAAGAATATATAGTCTTTAATAGTTTTAATTAGAGATATGCAGGGTAGACTAAGAGTAAGCATGTTTCACGATAGGGTATGGATTATAAAATTTTTTTCATGAAGGAACATTCTCAAGTGTTCGCATGCTTTTGAGCTAATATGTTGCCTATATAAGTAGGCCTTAGTGAGTTATGAAAAGTCTTCAAATCGTTTGTGTCCATAGACATTCCCTGCAAAGTTTTGAATTATTCGAGCACATGAAAATAATGGCAAATGCTTTTTGGTGACTATTGAATGGTTGGAGACTGTAAACTTTTTTTTTGAAAATGAACTTAATGATAACCATATGGAATTGAGCATATACTATTCAGCAGTAGATAAATGCTTATATTTCGTGAGAAAATCTTGGGGTAAAATTTCAAGAAATTTTCAGATTTATCACCTGCGAACTTCTTAAGATTGTAACGTTGAAAAGTCTAGTATAATCTAGTTATCGTTAAGTTCATTCTCAAAAAAGATTTACAGATTTTTACCTTTTATTAGGCATCAAAAAGTATTTGCCATTATTTTCAAGTACTCGAGCAATTCAAAAAAGCAAGGAATACCAATGGACACAAATCGTTTGATGATTTTTCATAGTTTGTCAAGGCCTACTTATGAGGAAGATATCAGCTCACAAGGATCCAGATACTTGGGAATGTTTTCCATTGCCAGTCAGGATATAGAGTACGACAAAAGAAGCTTACCCTACATATCTTTATTTTGAGTCTGCATATTACAGGTTTTAGAATGAAAAGTTTCTTTAAAAAGAAATCCATTATTCTTTTATGATAACTAGAGTAAACATATTTTGAAATATAAGATTATTTAACATACGTGTTAATCCAAGATCGACAAGCATATGAGTAAAATTTAATTGTGAACCGATATAAGGAACTTGAAATTCAAGATTATATCGTGGTTTTTCTGGCATACGTTTAATTACTCTCAATTGATCAAGTAAATAAGTAAAATATATTGGATTATAATCAAAAAATACTGCACCATCTTTATCCATAGGTAAATTCTTCTCTATATTATCTTTACTAAACATACGAGCTAATTTTGAATTTGGTACAACAGTTAAAGTTGAACGTAATGTTGTCATTTTTTGACCACCAATATTTAATTCAATTATATCATCTATTAATTGCACAGGTGTATCAATTTCTTCATTATTTTCTGAAGATGATGCAACAGTTGTTTGTTCAGCAATTGTTGCATCCTCAATAAGTGTCATAATGTTTGTATATAGTTCATTTTGCGAAGCTCTGTCAATGATAACAGTTGTTTTAACAAATAAATGTCGATCAAATAGCACAATCCAAATTACCTAGACATGTTATAATAATTTTAAAAGATTAATCTTTAAGGCTTCCTCAAAAAAAAAGTCACTCTGTCAGAATGGTCGAAATTAAGATAAATGTATAGGAAGATATCTCATGATTTGATCTTTCATAAACGACAAAAATTTTTAATCGGTACCTCGGTTTTTTCAAAAATTTATGAAGATTTCTGCCATTCTCTATTCAAAAAATAAGTTATTTTCAGAAAAAATAGAAGATCTTTTTCTTTTTTTCTCCATTTATAGTTTCTTGAACGCACAATACAAATTAAACTTTTTTTTTTATTATATGTACAGACACTTATATAACTCGACACCCATTTTTAAGAGTTTTTTGAGTCATTGAACTTTCGATACCTTTTTTTTCCTTAAACAAGTAAGTATTTAAAAAAAAAGGCTCTATATTGCACTGCATCCTGGCATGTTCTTTCAAACAAAAAAAAAACAAAATTAAATCTCTAGAATGAATCTGGACAGAGAAATTTGGTTTACCAAATGAGCTAT